ACTTGGGTTTCCTAGGCAACAGAGAAAGCCAAGCTTTCTGTCTGGCCTAAGCCTCTACTCAAGGCTACAAAGTTTCAATTATAGAAGGTAAACAAATCCAAACAGAAATGGCTGCTGGCCACAGAGGGAGCAGGAGGCTTGGCTCCACTCCAGGCTACAAAGTTTCAATTGTAGAAGATAAATAAATTCCAGATACCATGGCCTCCGCTTGGGCCACCAGCGGGTGTGGCCGGCCTGAAAACCACCACAGGCCCCTCGCTCAGGCTGCCCCACGTCCCAAGGGAACCCCCATCCTGATCCAGGACACCCTTCAGGGCAAACCAGCTGGCCCCGACCCATGTACCAGGCCTCTATCCTATCTAATAAAAGAGTAATATGCATATTGACCATCACTCCAACACACAATAGCTGCCCCCATGTGGTCAAAGATGGCTGCCTCCATGTGGACACAAGATAGCCACCACAAGATAGCCAGCAGGGGAGGGCAGTTAGGGATGACCAAGCCAGCAGAGGAGGGAAGTTGGGGGCAAACAGGCTGGCAGGGAGTAGTTAGACATCAATCAGGCTGGCATGGGAGTGGTTAGGGGGTGATCAGGCTGGCAGGCAGAAGCAGTTAGGAGCAATCAGGAAGGCAGGCAGGTGAGCAGTTGGGAGCCAGCAGTCCTGGATTGTGAGAGGGATGTCCAACTGCCCATTTTGGCTCGATCCCACCGGCCAGTCAGACATCCCTCCAGGGGTCCCAGATTGGAGAGGGTGCAGGCTAGGCTGAGGGACGCCCCTCTCCCCCACCCCCATGCACGAATTTCATGCACCGGGCCTCTAGTACTAAAATAAAAGGGCATTCTGCTGGATCCGTGTGGCTCAGTGGTTGAGTGTTGACCTATGAACCAGGACGTCATGATTCTATTCCCGGTCAGGGCACAGGCCCAGGTTTCCAGCTCAACCCCAGTGTGGGGTGTGTAGGAGGCAGCCTATCAATGATTCTCTCTTCTCACTGATGTTTCTATCTCTCTATACATTGAAAAGAAAAAAAAAAAAAAATTCTAACTAACCTAAAAAGCAGCCCTTTTCCAGGGTGGGGAGCTCCTCTGTCACTGGGCCATTTTCCTTTTGTTGCCGCTGGGTTTTTAAGATGTCTCAAGTAATCTCTCTCCTTCAGAGGCTGAGAGGAAGGCGGAGTCTGAATTGCCAGTGAACCTGACCTTCAGTTAAGGATCTCTGAGCACAGAAAATGGGCGTGATTGCTGGTGGAGAGGGAGAAACAACCTGAGGGCCAATCCAGAGCTAAGATGACCACTCTGCCCTGGGCCCTGCCCTACAGCCTGGAAGGTGCTAGAAAGAGCCGGAGCCGTGCTAGGAAAAACACATGCATCCCAGAAAGCCACACCATCTGTGATTGAGGATGATCTGGAAGTGGGAGCACTGACTCAAGGAAAACCTCAGTGGTCATGGCTAGTGAACGCCGGGTAAATAAATCTGCTGTGTGCCAGCGTCTGTTCAAAGCCCTTAGAAATAATATTCTGTCTGTTCCTCAGAGCACGGTATGACCTAAGCAGTGTTTGTTGGCCTCACCCGTTTTATAGAGGAAACTGAGGCAGAAAATTCAAATAACTTCTCCCACGGCTATACCAGCAATTTAGCTTCAGAGCCCATGGTCTTTATTAGCATTTCCATATATATATATATATATATATATATATATATATATATATATAATTTTTTATTTTTTAATATATTTTTATTGATTTTTTACAGAGAGGAAGAGAGAGTTAGAAACATCGATGAGAAAGAATCACCGATCAGCCACCTACTGCACCCCCCCCCCACTGGGGGTGTGCCGGCAACCAAGGCACATGCGCTTGACTGGAATCGAACCCTGACCCTCCAGTCCGCAGGCCGACACTCTATCCACTGAGCCAAACCGGTTTCAGCCTTTATTAGCATTTTCAAAGCTTTCTGTCCAACCCACACCAAGAAATAATTCTGCATCAGGAACCAGTATCTATGCACATATTTATACATAATTGAAAATTTTTTTAAAATATTTGTTTTGTTTTAAATATATATTCTTATTAATTTCAGAGAGGAAGGGAGAGGGAGAGAGAGACAGACAGACAGACAGAAACGTCAATGATGAAAGAGAATCATTGGTTGGCTGCCTCCTGCACGCCCCCTACCAGGGATGGAGCCTGCGACCGGGAATTGAACCATGATCTCCTGGCTCATAGGTCAACCCTCAACCACTGAGCCACAGCAGCTGGGCGAAACAAAGCTTTTAAACAGAAAGATACTCACTAAAATCACCATGTGCAATACACTCTGAAGCTTTCTTTTCTATCCCATGTCATTTAAAATATAGAGGGTGTCCGGAAAAATGTATACACACACTGTGAATAATTACGAAGGCGGTGCTTCCTAAAATATATTTCATTTTCAAAGCGGAGCTATCAGCTCTTAAAAGGTGAATACATTTTTGGGGGGTATATTCAACAAATAGGTACGGAACATCTAACATCTGTTAGATACTGGGTTTAGGCTTTGGAGCAATGCCAGTGAGAGAAAGAGACAAACATCCTTGCCCTCTTAGAGTAAGGTGACCACGTCCTGCTTTTGGCGGGACAGTCCTGATTTTCAACAATTTGTCCCGCGGCGCTTTAAAAAGGTCCCGATTTTTTTTAAGGGGGGGGGGGGGGAATCGGGACTTTTTTTTTTAAACACCGCGGGAAAATCGGGACTCTTTTTTTTTTTTTTTTTTAAACGCCGAGAGACAATCTGACTGTCCCACCAAAAGCAGGACATCTGGTCACCTTATCTTAGAGCTTGCATTTTACTAGAGAGAAAGATGAATAAGATCCACATACAAAATCGTTGCATCCCAGGTGGTGGTAACGGGGCGAGCCCAACGGAGGAAAAAATGAAGCAGGGACAGCCACGGGAGGCCAGGGCAGCCTGGCAATGCTTTCACTCCTCACCACATGGTTTCAGAGGCTGTCACCCACAGTGTGAAAACTCCTGCCGTTCACCCCTTCGCGCTAGTGCCTCTCTGTACGCTTGAGGTCTCTTCCTCCTAGATGGTGTGCCAATATGCAACATTTACGTGACTGTGTGCACACGTGTGCACACATGTAAAGAAGTGTGGGATGTGTGTACATACACGTATGCATGAGCATGCCCACCCACATTCACTTCCTCACGGGGGAGGCTTTAGAGACAGGAGCAGCGCCCTCACACGCAGAGATGTCCGAAATACAGCCCGGGCACCGCTGGCCAAAGCCAGGCCGGCCAGACGCGTGTCCTGGCTGCAGTCTTCAGTGCACAGGAAGGAGGATTTTTTTTTTTTTTAATCATTGATCCACCCAAAGGGAGCACCTTTTGTAGCGACAGGCCAGGGGACCACGCATTTCTAATCTACATCAAGGTGCTCTCTGGGCCAGAGTGCCCTTAAGAAGAGAGGAGACAGTTCGAAGAAATAAAATCACTCCCTGGAGAAAGCCCAGTGCCGGGGCACACCCAGCAACGTGATGGATGAGGGTCCGAGGGGAGACGGGATGGGAGCCAGCTCCAAATCAGCGCTGGGCTGCGTGGGCAGCCTCCACTGAGGGCATTTGAAACTTGGCACCTGAGTGCAATCTGCAGACTCTTCCTTTAAGTTAAAGGGGCATATAGGGGGTGGGGGTGGGGGGAAACGGTACTAGCATGATCTATGGGAAGAGCAGCCAATCTCTGCTAATGAATAAGTGTAATTGATCACAATGGATGACTTGATGGACCTTCCAAATGTGCTTTTAGCAAAGTAGACAGTTTTTCATTCAAATGCAAGCTTACCCAGATAAAATCTAATAATGGAAATTTTGGAACAATCCCAGCATCAGTGATTTTTTTTTCTCTCTCTCTCTTAGCAGGAAGGCATCTGAAGTTCTTGGTCTCAGCTTGAGCTAGACAGACACCAATTCATACTTCCCTGTAGCTGAAGAGACCCTGGCAGTCCCAAGGGACAGCAAAGGAGCAATCACAGGTCACCCCGCATCCCGGTCCTTTCCCTCTCCCTGGCCTGTGGCTGGAGACATTTATTCAAGAAATATTTATTGAGCCCTTACTCTGTGCAAGACACCAGGCTGACCATCACGAGGGGGTGCAAACTGTCTGAGACCAGGTCCTGCCCTCAGAAGAGAGGCAGATGGGAGGGGAAACCACAAATGACAGGAGGTCCGAGTGGAGGCATCAGCTGACTCCAACCAGACTCTTCCTCTCTCTGGGCTCCAGTTTCCTCCTGCATCATGTGAAGACGCTGCCCTAGACATGATCTCTGGGCACTGGGCCAGCTTGAAGCCTCTGTAATTCCTAAACCCTTCCCTTCTCCCTCAGACTCCCAGCTCCTAGGGCGCTGACAGACCAAGTGCATGCAGCCTTCTAGGAAGCGGGCCAGGCGGCAAAGGCAGGGGGCAGTGAGGACTGTGTACCTTCCACCAAGCGATAACCTGTCTCAATCTGACGGGAACTCAGATACAGGCTGGAGGAGATGAGAGAGAGATCCGTTCAGAAAACTGAGTGGGAGATTTGGACCTCCACTTCCAGGAATCTGGGGGGACGGGCAGCCACCGGTTTGCTCCGAGGAGGATGCCATCAGTGTGGTTCAAAGAAACCCGGCCGGCCTGTGGCCTGTGGCGGGTGAGAGTGGATAATGTTGGGACAGACCGAGCAGGAAGGCTGAGGCCTAAGTGAGAGATTCCTCCATGGTCTGGCCAGGCACACATTCCACCACCCCTGTCATAATGTTTATTTTTACGAACTCGCCCAAAGCCCAAACCACTCTGCCCTAGGTGTCTGCTTTTTTTTTTAAGTTCCACAAGTGGCTTCAAGGTAAACAGGTCAATCTTATCTCCCTTCTTCCCAGGCTTAACCTGAGGTTCAACAGGACCCACAAGGTGTGCCTGGGATGGGGTGACCAGCAGCCCCCAGGGGGTGCGTGAAGTCGGGGATCCAGGGAGGGGTGCGCCTACCTGCAGAGGAGCCGTCTTCGTGGTCCGAGCTGTTGTGGCTGCAGTCACTGCCCCTCTCCGGCGAGCTGTGGCCGGGCGAGTCGCGCTCGGGCACCCACAGCAAGCCCTTGCGCCGCCACCGGGAGTGGTGATGGTCGCGGGCCCCGCGCCGGGGGGCCTCCTCCGCGGGCACCGGCGAGCCCCGCCCGTCCTTGGCCTCCGCCTCCAGCTGCTCCAGGTCGCGGCTGCGGCGCTGCAGCCGCCGGCCGCCGGGGATCAGGTGCATCCAGCGGTGGGGGCTGCTGGCCCGCGCCGCCTTCTCGGCCTCGCCGCGGGTGCCGAACCGGCAGGGGGCCACCAGCAAGTGGCCCAGGACGAATTTCTCGTTCAGATCCACCATCTCGAAGTCGTGGTCACTGCCGTCGCCCCCATCCTCGGCGCCCGAGGCGTCCGGCTCGCCCTCCTCGGAGCCCCGCCCCGCCTCCCGGGCCCCCGAGGCCGGCTCCTCGCCGGGGGACCTGGGGGCTGTGCCATCGCCATCGGGGCCCGGGGGCGCGCGGTCCTCCCGCGGCGAGAAGAGGAGGCGAGGTTGCAGCAGCTGCTGGTGGATGGCTGCGGTCAGGCTGCACACGGTGGCCCCGGCCCCCGCCACGGGCCATGCGGGGAGGTCCAGGCACACGCACGGAGGCTCGGCCTGGGCAGCCGCCTCCGGAGCGGGGCGCGCGGGGCCCGGGGGTTCGCCGCCACCGCCGCCGCCGCCCGCGGCACCCTCCTCCTCCTCCTCCTCCTCCTTCTCCTCCTCCTCCTTCTTCTCCTCCTCCCGCGGAGGAGGCGCGCGCTCCGGCCCGGCCACCGCCGGCTCCTCGGCCGGAGCTGCCCCGCCGCCGTCCGCGCCCTCCGGGCCCCGCGCCTCCCCGGCCAGCACGGCCTGCAGGAAGGACACCTTGAACTTCTCCTCCGCCGACACCTGTTGCAGCCGCTTCAGGCGGAGCTGGCACTGCTCCAGCTCCCGCTCCACGTCCCGCACCGAGTCCAGCCGCAGGGCGGGCGCCGCCTGCCCGGGGAACTCGGCCCGCCAGCGGCGCTCGAAGTCCCGGGGGTCCCACATGCCGGCGCCCCCCGCGGGCTCCGCGCCCCGCTCCCCCTCCGCGCGGCCGAGGTCGCGCCCGGCTCTCCGGCAGCCCGCGCTGGCGCCGCCGCCTCCCCGGCGCTTCAGTCCCGGCGAGAATCAGAGAAAAAATAAAGTTTTTCCCCTTCCGCCCTGGGCCGGCTGCTTTTTTTTTTCCCCCCCTTCTTCTGGTTTTCGCCGCCTGACGTAAGCAGCCACCCGCGGCGGAGGCGGGCGTCCGGGGGCCGTAGGCCCGCCCGGCGGGACCTGCGCGCGGAGCCGCGGTCTGCAGCCCCGGCCCGGGGCGGGCGCCCTGCGGGCTCGGGCGCCTGGGGAGCGGGGCGGGGCGGGGCGGGGCCGCGGGGCGGGGGCCCGGCCTGCAGGCGCCCGGAGGCGGGGGGCGGGCCGCGGTGGGTGTGCCTCCAGCGCCCGACACCCCGAGGCGCCCGCGCCCCCGGCCCGGCTCTGCGCCTCTCCGGCCCTGCGGGCTGCGCGGTGCCGCCGCCGGCGCGGGGGCTCCCTGCACCCGAGCGCGGGGCCGCGCGGCGCGGGGAGGCGGGAATCCCCCGGAGGGAGCGAGTCGGGGCGCCTGGGCCGCCAGCCGGCCCTTCGCCCCGCTCCTCCCCTCCCGTCCCCGGCTGTCCGCCGCCCAGTCGGCCTAGGGTCCGGGCAGCGCGTGGACCTCGGAGGGAAGGGGAAGGGGCAGGCGATGTGGCGCGGCAGGTGTCCAAGGGAGGGGTCTCCTGGCCTGGGAGTTGTCCTTGGCCTGGATTTACTGAGCGCCTTTGACTTGGTTAAAATCACAGCGCTCTCTAATCCAAATAGAGGGTAAAACTCTGCTTTGTTGTTGATTTTGTTGTTGTTGTTGTTGTGTGTGTGTTTAAAGTCACTGAAAGCGTTTTCCCCAGAGCTTTGGGGGAAGAGATAGGCCAGGGTGACAGGCTCAGTGGCCCCTGTGACTGCACCAAACCCTGACCGCACGGGCCTTAGACCCCTGGGTGTCTAAAAGGACCCTCCTCTCCTCTCTGTGGCCTCAACAATTCCCCTTGGGGGTGGGGAGGAGGAGAAGGGGGAAGCTGGGACAAGCACCTGGACTGGCACTCAGCGCGGGGTGGCTAGGGACCCCCGCTTCACCCTCCCCTCCACACCTGGCTGCACCCCCTGTCTGCAGAGAGAGGCCCGATAAACGGTCTTGTGCGTTAAGGATGAGTAAACTGATAGTCTAAGAGACTCAATAACTCGGCTGCTGGGAATTCTTCCTGACCTCAAAGCCCTTAGGGACCAGCTAAACTCCCAGCCCCCTGCCATGGCCTCTCACCTGAACCCTCTGAGCAGCTCGCCCTCCTCCTGCTTGCTTTCCAATCCCTTTCAACCCGCCCCTCAAGGCTTGGCCCTGGGAAGACACCAGGAAGGTCATTCTTACCCACAAATGAGGTAGCGCCATGCTCCTGCTCAGAGCCCTCCAGTGCACTGCCCCTCATCACCTCCAGGACGGAGCCCAGACTCCTCCTCTTGACCCAGGAGAGCCTCCTCCCATGCTTGGTCTCTACCCACTTCTCTGCCTCCCTCCCGTGCAATAGCCGGACCAACTCCCGGCTGTGCCCAAAAGCATCTTCCTCTTTATGGGTGCCTTTTCCTCTTGGAACTTCTGTCCCTGCGCCTGGGCACAAGTCCCGCTGCCTGAGGACGCCCACCCTCCTTTGATCCCCACCTCCAAAGGATCCCCAGCGAAAGGCAGCCGTTTCTGGCATCTCCCCTTTTCTTTGTATCACCACCCCATCTTGGACATGTTCCACTTTATTGCGATTACTAGAGGCCCGATGCACAAAGATTCCTGCAAGAATAGGCCTTTCTCCCGGAGCAGCGGCTGCCAGGCTGGGAGCGGCCAGGCCCGGGGGGAGCAGGCGGGGCTGGTGCGGCCAGGCCCGGAGCAGCGGCTGCCAGGCTGGGAGCGGCCAGGCCCGGGGGAGCAGGCGGGGCTGGTGCGGCCAGGCCCGGAGCAGCGGCTGCCAGGCTGGGAGCGGCCAGGCCCGGGGGAGCAGGCGGGTCGGGTGCGGCCAGGCCCGGAGCAGCGGCTGCCAGGCTGGGAGCGGCCAGGCCCGGGGGAGCAGGCGGGTCGGGTGCGGCCAGGCCCGGAGCAGCGGCTGCCAGGCTGGGAGCGGCCAGGCCCGGTGGAGCAGGCGGGGCTGGTGCGGCCAGGCCCGGAGCAGCGGCGGCCAGGCTGGGAGCGGCCAGGCCCGGGGGAGCAGGCGGGGCTGGTGCGGCCAGGCCCGGAGCAGCAGCAGCCAAGTCCAGAGCAACTAGGTCGGGAGCGGCAGTGACCAGACCCGGAGCAGCTGGTTGTGGAATGAACCGGAGCAACAGAGGCCAGGCCCTGAGCAGCCAGGCCCAGAACAGCTCGCTCCTTGCCTGCCCCTGCCCCACGGCTGCCTCTCAGACATGGCTGGAAACTTACGTGGGAACTTGAGGGTCTGCTGAATCAAGTGATGAAGGCTTAGATCTGGATGTGTTGAGTTAGTTTAGGACTGGGGTGTTGATCTGTGAGTGCCTTGGGTGGGGCCTGGATGAGGCTGGTTGACCTAGTGGGAAATGTCTTTTGTGTGAAGTGTATCATTGGGCATGTGGAGGTATTATTGATATGAGAAAATGCTAAGTGACTGATTTGCTATCTGAGGAGGGATTTGCTGTTGGGGAAATTGAGGGAAGAAGAGACTGAACATGAACTGCACCTATGGATGAGGACAATGGGGGATGGGGGGGGGACGGAGGGTGGGGTGGGAACCTGGTGGAGGGGGGAAGAAATGAGGAAACTTTGTAATAATATGAACAATAAAGATTGATTTAAAAAAAAAAAAAAAAAATCATGAACAAACTGTTGCAAGGGAGAGAAAAAAACTGTGACTATTAAATATGATATGCTTCAAAAAAAAAAAAAAAAAAAAAAAAAAAAAAAAAAAAAAAGAATAGGCCTTTCTTCCCCTGGCTGCCGGTGCAGTCTTCACTCAGGCCAGAGTCTCCTTCCGCCTCTCGCCTTATCACGTCAATTTGCATATTCCCTTCCTATTGGCTGTGGGTGCTGCCATCTTTGTTGTGGAGTTATAGTTAGTCAAGTTGTATATTGTAGCTTTATTACATAGGATTAGTGACACTAGAGGCACGGTGCACAAAATTCGTGCACTGGGTGGGGGGTGGTCCCTCAGCCTTTCGCAGTCTGGGAGCCCTCAGGGGGACCCACAGGAAGCAGGCCTAAGCCATCAGTTAGACATACTCAGTGCTGCTAAGGTGGGAGAGGCTCCGCCACCACCACTGTGCTTGCCAGTCATGAGCCCGGCTTCTGGCTAAGCTGTGCTCCTCCTGTGAGAGCGCACTGACCACCAGGGGGCAGCTCCTGCGTTGAGTGTCTCGATGGTCAATGTGTGTCATAGCAACTGGTCATTCTGCTGTTTGGTCGATTTGCATATTAGCCTTTTATTATAGAGGATCTTTTGTTTCCCCTTCTTTCAGAACCCTTCAAAGGAAGGGATTGTGTCTTTCCCACTTTTGTATTCCTGCTGCTTCTTGCAGAGTGTGATAGAGATAGCTGATCATTGTTGAATGGAGATGAATGAAGCGATGAGCAAATGAACAGACAGATGAAGGAATACCCATCTTTGGTTTCTTCTTGGCTTCTCCAGGTGTGAATCACTCCAGACTATGAGCAGATGTACCTCCCACAGTCACTTCCCAACTCTGGAATTTTCTTCCTTAACAAAGTATGTGTTTACTCATTTTCCCAATATCCCTTATTCCTTAAAAAAAAAAAAAAAAAATGGTGTGCCACTGGCATGACTCATCACAGTGTTTATCTTTCTACCTGACTGCTATGGGGAAATGGATGTGTTTTAAATTACGTTAACTGAGAATTCCCCAGTTTGTGTGATTTCTCAATTCTTTATCTAGTCCCTCAAGTGTTCTCTCCTATGAGATTCATTTCTTAAAGGATTTTTAATTTTATTTTATATTATTAATTTCAGAGAGAGGAAGGGAGAGTGAGAGAGATAAACATCATTGATGAGAGAATCATCTATCGGCCACCTCCCACACTCTCCTTCTCCCCCCTCTTCCCCCACTGGCGATTGAGCCTGAAACTTAGGCATGTGCCCCGATCAAGAATTGAACTGTGACTTCCTGGTTCATGGGGTCAATGCTCGACCACTGACCAACACCAGCTGAGCTGTCTCTACCTCCCTAGAGGCCACCACACATCTCCTCTGTCCGCTGGGAAGGACTGAGGAGCTCCCAGGACCTACAGCAGCCAGCGCAAAGTATTTTATCAAGTGGAGTCCACAGACATCCTGGCCTCTGTTATGATTTCAGAACGAGAAAGTAGCACTGCAGGGATGGATGGCCTGTCACAGCACATTGATCGGAAGCTGTTTCAGTACGCATACTTAAATGCACAAGGGGGCGGGCGGGAAGCTGTGTTACTATAAGCATCAATTTCTGAATTTGTGGGTTCTCTGGGAGGGTAGTTTCAACTCTGTCCTTTAATTAAAGCGGCAGCCTGATTCCCTTTTGGTACCAGGAAGTTGTTACCGATACCACTAATTTTTTCCAGGAGGACCAATACAGCTGGCATGCAGCATCCATCTTCCGTAACAGATCCCAGGAGCCAGCTTCATTGTCTCGAGCTGGTGGACGGTTCAGCTTTATCACTTGGCGTTGGGTCATCGTGGGGGCAGGGGTAGAGTGGCTGACGTTTATTGAACCCACGCCTCTGGTTGCCGTATATCTTTGATCTCCTCTAATTCCTCACAACAACCCTGTCAGGGACATATCATTGTTGCCACTTCGGGGAGAGAGAGAGAAATGGAAGATGGAAGAGTTAAAGGTCACAGCCAATCTGCTGGATTCTAAAGCAAGGACTTGGCCCAGGAGCGTCTGTCTTTAGCACTCATCCCCTTCCCCGCCCCCCCTCCCCCCCAATAACTATATGTGGAGCACCTACGGGGTGCCAGGAC